ACACACACACACACACACACACACACACACACACACACACACACACACACACACACACACACACACACACCACATGTTCAACTAAAACAAAACCAGTAATTTTTCTTTATTTAAAAAAACAAACAATAAGTGAAAGCATTTCTTTTTAGTTTATTTACCACTTGGCTATTTTAGGTGAGGTTTTAGTAGTTCAAGCGGTGTATCAATTCGACGCATTTATACCCTTTAATATCCAACACATATTTGAGATCTTCTGTGATGTGACTCAATATTTTGCACTAGTAATAGATCAAAACTAGCGGACTATTTTATTTGGCTTTACAAATATCAGAAAAAGGGGAGAACAAGCTCTGGCAAAGTAAATTTAAGTTGTCGTCATATTATGCGTATTCCCCCCTTTTTGCCCATAAACCGATTCTATCTCTGTTTATTATTTATTTATTTATTTATTTATTTATTTTATAGCCACCCTATGGTGTTTGGATCCACAATCCCCTTCGCCTGTATGCGTGGCGTTTCCAGATATAATTTAGTAAAATGAAAACGGACATCAGGATGATTAAAAGGCAGGCTGGGATATTACAGGAATTTTATCCGTCCATCCATCCATCAGTAACGCGCACGTGTGGCGAGGGGATCATATGGTCTCACTTTATTTTCATTATACACTTTTCCCCTCAAGATCATTCAATTTATTCGACTATTCAATTACTCTGATTGTTGGAATCGAGGCCCTTTAGCTGTCCTAGAAAACAATGCAGATAAAATGCTCTTAAACTGTCAGCAAAGGGCAACACAATTAGAATAATTGACGGATGCAAATGCAGCGAGAGAGAAGATACGAGCGCGCACATCTGGTTTAGTGGGACAGTAAATGATGAGGTGCGTTTTTCATCTTTAAATGAGATGGCAAAGCAACGTGGCTATTAGCGCACTGAATGATGTGCAAAACAATCCGCATTTGGGGGGTAATCGTTTCGCATTTTACAAATATATGTATGCTGCACACAACAGTTAAAAATAATAGTAATTGAAGTGTGAAATTACAGAGAAGATATATTTAACGTTATTATCCAAGGGGACTCAAACGGCTTCCGCTCTGTTAAATTCGCCCGGGCAGTCAAGTGAAGTTTAATTCGTAAACATTTTTAACACAAATCAGTAAAGATGTTTTTGATTTTTCTGTTTTTATGATACATATTTGGAAGGAGGTTATTTATCTAAATGAATGTAATCTTGGGAGGAGGCAGCTCTCGGACAATAACTCAAACAGAGGGCGACTCCTTTGCCACCGCCGTTGACCCAAGCACCTCTAATTAGATCTAATATTTCAGTGGATGAGTTCATTGTCACCAAAGCGCAAATCTGCGATTCACAGATCCATCTTAGTGAGAGCAGAGAGTCAGGATATCTTATGTGATCAGGCTTTCATGGAGCGCGATTCATTTGTGGGATGAAAACCTGCAGCAGGCCTGGTTCATAACGAGCCACAACAGAAAAAGCTTCATCTGAGTGTTTATTATTTTTGCGCGTTTAAATCTATTATTTGAATGTTAGTCACACAAACCAACGTGGATGTCAGCTGAGCACATTGGCCTTGCAATGGTGATAACACGGTTCAGAGCACAGATTCAGCCTGGGTACGATCAAATTCATGCAGAGACTGCGAGCAGAACAAATGCGTTATGTTCCAGTGGCTTCCCTTCATGCAACACTTACACTTTAGAAGTGCGTAAATGTATTCTCGACTTCCAAGACGAATTACAGCCCAGCGCATCGCGCAGACCTACCTGGCAGTCTGTCTCCTCTCTGCTCTCCCTCCTCCTCCTCGCCTTCTTCTTCTCCTCCTCCATACCGCCGAGGCTCGTTTCAGCGGGGTGAGCCAGAGCTCGCAGGGAAACTGCAGTAGTCAGTCCACACTTTCTCCGCCGTCCACCCGCAAAACAACATCAGGTAGCAGTGGCACCGTGTCCCCACGCATTTGGTCCGAAAGCAGGAAAGGAACAGAGAGAGGGAGAGAGGCAGAAAGCGAGGGGGAAACCTTAGGAGAGAGCTCGGAGGAGAAAATTAAATTGCACTTGGGGGGCAAATTCTATTAGGGAATAGTTATTGTCTCCTGACAGCTCCTGTCCATTTGGGTAATTAGTAGAAGAGATTGGTTGAACAAACGAAATCTATTCCCGTCAGAAATGATATTTTCCAATTCCCTGATTGAACCTGACCCTGTCCTACTAAGACGAGGCGGTAATAGGCTCATTTGACTCGAATAACTACAACAGTTTAAGCCAAGCCTGCCCGAAGAAGGATTTCATTTGGATTTTGCTTTATTTTCACGACACACTGATAAGATTTAATTGAAACACTATTAATATTATTTATTTATGACAAGATAAAGACACACAAACAGGAGAATTCAGCAGGATCCCCCTTTAACTGAAAGCCCTTCAAATTATCCAGTTTCAATTATAAGTCCTGTGATGCACTGGCACCTGCCCAAGGTGCTGCCCTGTCTGAATGCTGCCCGTCGTGCTGGAATAGATTCCCGACCCTCACGAACTTCATTAGATAAGCGTGGAAAGCAAATGGATATAAGGATGAATGAAAGCTGAGACCTGAAGCTTAAGCTGCTCTTGCAAACCAGCGTGCAAAAAATAATCTGGATTCAGGTGAAACCTCCTGATGCAAAAATGATGTTAATGTGTGATTAGCAGAAGTCCAGAGCTGCAAAAACACATTAACAGCTCCTGTAAGATTACAGTTCCTCTGCAGCTCCTGTTGTTTTCTCTGCATTCTCAGATTTAAAATGGGCATTCTGAATTAGTTCGCATTTCCACCGTTCATGGGGCACACGCAGCTCATGCATAGCATTTAAAATACAAGACTGATTTTGACCAACATTATTGAATGAAACCATTTTTTTAATTTCAGCAAATAAAACCCAAAACCAAATAAAATGCATTTACTCCAGTGTTGTATTTTGATATTTCTATTTAAGATAACTATTAAAATCAGATTATTTTACTGCAGATGACTGATCATAACAAACTACTCAGTAAAAATGTGTGAAGGCCCGCATCCACAACCTAAAGATTTCCACAGAAAGCCTGTGTTGCGTCTTTGATGCTCGGTGAAAGGAGCAGTGTTGGCTGAGTGAGTGAAAGCGTGACTGACAAGTGTTGGCTCTTCTCCAACTTCATTATCCAAGCACTTCCTGTAAGCTATATGCTAACTCTGGAGGGGAAGGGGTGGGGGTAAAACAGGAGCAGAGCCCCGTTTCCCAAAATCATCTATAAGGTAGTTTCATTGTAAAGAAGTACAATGGGAACAAGATGATCCAGGCTTAACAATGTTTTTGGGAAACTGAGCCCAGATCAGCAGAAGTGAAGGTCGGGGTTGTGTTGTAATGAAATGATGCGGAGATGTGAACTCACAATTTTAAGTCCTGAAAGTTAAATTATGAGATTAAACAAGCATGAAGCAGTGAAAGTGATTATATTGGAGGAATTTAAAAATAGTTACTTAAAATGATATAAAACCCATGTCTGCATTATTAATGTGGAAGGAATCACAAATGAATTCGAATAAGACAAACGCATCAACCTGGGTGTATTCCACAGTTTCATCTGGTGTAACTCTGGTTGGCTGGTTGTGCTGGTTGTGCTGGGTGTGCTGGTTCGGGGTCTTTGGGAGCAAAACAAAAACTTATAATCTGTGCTCATTCATCAGCCATTAATTTGAGTGAACTGACAGAAGTAGAAGTTATTGCATAAACTGAAAACCTTGGTACAGGCTGCATGAACACTCACTGAGATGTTTGCAGATCTCGGCAGATGAGCGTCCACATGAAAGGGGGAGGGACTGCAGCAGAGAAATGAGATGGGTCTGACCCTGCGTGACTCCTGCGTTTAAAAGGCTGCATGTTTAAAACCCGAAAGGGGATCTGGCTTAGTTAGGATGCAATGTATACCAATACCATATATTAACCTCTTTTTCATAATTTATTCACCCCACTCCACCCCCACACCCGCATTCTCCCTCTACCCACAGCAGGAAGCTTTATAGTATTATTAAAGTCAGAAAGAGAGATGACAGAAAAATGCATCAAGCCCCTCCTGCATTTTAATATCAATACCGGCGGGGTAATAAACATCGAGGCAGAGAGCGTACAGGAGACGAGTGACTATAAAACTCTGCATTGTCTAATTTATGGAAGACAGCAACAGGGCAGGAAGGTGAGGTTTTTACCCTTCAGTCAGTGGTTTCATAACGCAACTTTGTCTCAGTTCAAAGCATCAGTTTTAGACAAAACACACAACAAAGTTTAGAAGAAAGTAATCAGCTCGTGTTACTCCAAGAAGATATACGGTGACAAGGTATGCAGGCAAAGCTCCGCCATGACGGTGTCACCTTAAGCTCAATTTGCCGTTTGTATGGTTGCTTTTATAAGCATTTGTTGTCTTT